GCCCAGCACCGGTGGCCTAAGGCCCCAGTCCCTCCACGCTCTCAACATCAAACTTGCTACTACTGATACGCGCTGCACTTGTTACTAACTTTCTCTTCCTTGTAGGATATCAGATCCACAACACCCAGGATTTGGGTCTATGCTACATTCAGTGTTGAATGGTGTCTGGGATATAGTCATCATTCATAAAAATGTGTACAAAAATAGCTAGTTTCTGATCAGTAAAACACTGAAAATTTTAGCAGTCCTAAAATAATTTGAAGTGTCATAATTACTATATAAGTCTTCTATGTACACATTTATCTTAGTAATCCACAATGAAAAGGGAGTTTATGCTCTGGGAGTAATAGACCATTGTTTCTCTCTTTTGCCTTCCCTCAGAAGAGCAGCTTAGCGGCCATTTATAGAAGATAAAAATGACTAGTTCCAAGGCCAACCTGAGTTACACAGTAAGTTCTCACCTCACATGGGCTACATGAGACCCTACTTAGATAAACAAACCCTAAACCATTTTGGCAGCTGTTCTATGAAATGTAGAGTATCCTTTGTAAGGGTGTAAAATGGGCCAATTTTTAAACTTAAGTTTTCTGGTGCGTATGGGTGTTTTGCCTGCATAAATGTCTCTCCACCACATGCATGCCGTTCCCACAGAATCTTGATGGGTTCACCAGAAAATGATCCTGCTTCAGATAACATTCCACAAATTTCCCCACTACAGCTCCAGTTATTATAGTCAATTGATTACACTTGTTTTGAAAATTATGTAGGCCCAAGTCATCTTAGATATTCCTTATAGTGTACACAATCATTCATGTACTTTTTAGGGTAACTCTTAAAACACTCTATAAAGGAAAAAAATGTGGCCTTGCTGGCCCTGCACCAAGGCATTGTGGCTACTCCAGTGGTTTTCATTAGGAAGCAATTTTTACCCTCTAAGGGACATTTTGCCAAGCCTGGAGACTTCAGGTTTCAGCAAATGGGGCAGGGGTGGGGGTGGGAGGGAGTGCCATTAACATCTAATAGGTGGAGGCTGAGGATGCTGCTTACAAACCTGCTGGATGGCCCACATATTCTAGGATCAACTACTGGGGGCCCAAAGACCAGCACCCACAGACCAGCAGGGAAACTAGGAATGGGAGACGCAACGGGTTATCTTCTCAGTGGTCCTGTTTTCCTGCCCAGAAGGCTGGGAGTGGATTTTGTTAATGACCTGGTGACCTCTTTGTACCTGTAGAGAAAGAAAGTGGGTGTGGCAGACCTCACCCACCTTTTGCTATAGAGACAGACTTCACACAAATTCCCCAGAATGATTATCTACACTCCTCTTTCCCCTAGACTGTTATGGAGTCACATCTTAAGCTTTATTGTGCACCCGGAATTGGACTGATTGCAGTCTGGAAAGATTTTCCCAAACTGTACTGTTTTAAATATGCTGACAATGAATAGCCTGGCATTAGACTCCCAGAAGTCTTTGATCCTGGTTGATGAAGTCAATCTGCACCAGGTTTTTCTTCTCGTCTCTTTCTCGATACCTGCAGGGACCCCTCAATCACCTAACCCCAGGTGCAGGCAGGCAGGTTCCACTTACATACATCATCATCCCTGGACCTCTAGCTCCGGAATGGTCTCTAATGTGACTGAGACTAAGAACCACACAGAAAGTTTCTTTTTAAAAAGAAACAGAGAAAATAGATGCCTGGGTCTACTGCGAACCTAAACAGCCTCTGAAGGAAGAGCTACAAGTGACGCCCTGTAGACCGTTTCCTCACTGGTGTCTGTACTGTGGCTGTGAGGCGATGGACCTGCTTCTTGGTCCTGGACTTCTCAGCCCTCCGCAGCAACTCCAGGAGCCAGGCCGAGACTCTACCTACTCCTTGGATCAGGCTGCATCGTCAGAACCTGGGCTCAGGAGAGATGTGTTTTTACTGTAATGTGTCACGTGGTTACTGTTTTTAAGAACAAAATGAAAAAGACTTTTCAAAGACGTTCTCTTCGCTGCCGCGCTGTTGTCAACACCTCCCACACCTCTCAATGACTATCCTTACCATGAATGAGGAGATTTCTTCTCAAGCAATTGCTTTTTGTTTGTTAACAAAAATGGTAAAAATTCTAAACTGACTTTGACTTTTTTCTTTTTGTTTTTTTGAGACAGGGTTTCTCTGTGTAGCCCTAGCTGTCCTGGAACTTGCTCTGTAGTACAGGCTGACCTTGAACTCAGAGATCCACCTGTCTCTGCTTCCTGAGTGCTAGGATTAAAGGTGCAAGCACCACCGCCCAGCTAACTTTCCTCTTTGACTACAAGGACAAAATTGACAGGTTAGTGGCAATATGCAGTGAATGAAGGTGGTTATTTTCTGTTTTTCTCAGAGCAGATTTTGCGGTTCCTGCTGTAATACTTTTCCTTATCACTATGAAAGGCTTCAAATCCACAGTGCAACAAGAGAGGCAGTACATGGGTGCTTCTGCAAAGCTCACCTCACAATGTACAAGCAAGTACCATCTCAAGACAGCATTTTAAAACTCGGGGTGGGAACGATCAGTCAGTAAAGCGCTCGCTGTGCAGACACTAAGGTCTGAGTTTGGGTCCCCGGAACACACACTGGAACACTAGGCACGATGGCACAGAGCTTCAGTCTCAGTGCTGGGAAGACAGGGACAGGCGGGTCTCTGGAGCTCAATGGTAAACCAGTCTAGCCAAACTGGCAAGCTCCAGGACAGTGAGAGACCCTACCTCAAAAAATAAGGTGGAGAGCAACTGAGGAAGACACCGGATATTGACCTCTAGCAGACATATGTATGTCTCTGTACATAGTAACCACACACACACACAAACACATTAAAGTCCCACTAAAAAAATTACCTGCAATATTATTCATGTTTTGTTTTCAAAAATAGTAAAAGTATCTTTTTTTTCAACCTGAATACATTATACACTAAAATGGACAGTTAAAAATGCTTCTCCCAGGACTAAAGAAATGGCTCAGTGGTTAAAAGCGCTTGCTGCTCTTGTAGAGGACATGGGTTTAATTCCTAGTACCTACCTCAGGCAGCTCCCAACTACTTGTGACTCCAGTTTCAGGGAACCTGACACCCTCTGGCCTTTGTGGTCCCCAACACACATGTGGTGCATATGAATTCACACAGGCACACACACATAAACATTAAAAGAATATTAAAAACAAGCTGGTCTTTTTGTCTTTCACATCATGCATCCCAATGCCACCCATCTCCTGTCCCCTCGAATATGCCCTCTGCCCCTGCAACCTCCCCTCCAATAAAACAAAATAAAATTCAAGATAAAAAAGGAAAAAAAGGAAGAAAGGGAAAATCTCGTCGTGGAAGCTGCAGTGTGACACAGTGAGTCTTGCAGCAAACCCCTTTATCCACACATCTTTACATGCAGGCGTTCGTCGCAAAGAATCATTGGTTTGTTGCAGGCCCCAGGTTTCTGCTACACTACTGACACTGAGCCCTCATTGGGACTCTCCCTGGACATCCTGTTGCTGCCCTGTGTCGTAGAGATCCTGTAGCCCTGGGCCCGCAGAAACCCCCCTCCCCATCTGTGCTCCCCCAGGTCACAGGTGGGGTGGAAGTTGGGGTGGGCCAATACTTAACCCTGGTTCTGGGCCTGGGAAGTTGGTCAGCCAGCCCACCTGCTCTCCCTTGCCCTCACCACCAACACTGCCCTGGTTAGTTCACCTCTTGTAGCCATGAGCAAGGGGCGGGGCCTTCCTCCTGCTTTCCTGTCCTCAGGGTTGGTTCTCCCACACCTATCTCTCCCTACCCCATGCTGTCACATGACACATGAGGAATGCGGACAGAGAGCTCTCCCACCTGCCTCAGGTGTCAATGGGGAGAAATCTCTCCCCTACCCATGCCAGTGGTACATGTCTTTAATCACAGCACTCAGGAGGCAGAGGCAGGCAGATATCTGAGCTCGAGGCCAGCCTGGTCTACAAGTGGAGTTCCAGGACAGCCAGGCCTACACAGAGAAACACTGTCTTGAGAAAATAAAATAAAACAAAACCTTAAAAAAAAAAAAAAAAAAAGAGTTAAAAAGTGCTTCTCTTGGACTGGCAAGATGGTTCATCAGGTAAAGGCAGTTTCCATGCAAACCTTGTAACTTAAATTCAATCCCCAAAACCCATGTAAAAGTGGACAGAGAGAACCTACCCCACAAAGTTGTCCTCTGGTCTACACAGGCACACTGGGGCACACATGTGTACCTACCCACACATTACATATACACACACTGGGGCACACGTGTCCCTACCCACACATTACATATACACACACTCCAATACAAATCCTACAAACGCCTGTCCTATAAAACATCACTGTTTAATGAACTCGTGTAACTGAGGATAACCTTAACTCTGGGCCTCTAACCCTCCTGCCTTCACCTCCACAGCACTGGACCACATCTGGATCTAGCTGGTGTGGGGACCAAAGCAGGACTTTGTTCATGTCAGGCAAGCATTCTACCAACAGTGCTACAGCTGCTTTCCCCAAAATTTGTTCTTAAACTTTTTCATAAAAGCTTGAGATGCAGATTTGTTTAATTATAAGTAGAATGTGGTATTATACTTAAACCTATCAACAACTAAGTTCTATAAAAATGCATACTTATGGAGTCAAATTTTATTATTGCATAAAAACGCATTTATTTATTTATTTATTCATTCATTTATTTATTTATTTATTTATTTTTGGTTTTTCCGAGACAGGGTTTCTCTGTGTTGTTTTGGTGCCTGTCCTAGATCTCGTTCTTTAGACCAGGCTGGCCTTGAACTCACAGACATCTGCCTGGCTCTGCCTCCCAAGTGCTGGGATTAAAGGCATGTGCCACCACCGCCCGGCTTGCATAAAAACTTTTAAAGCTATGTACCACAATTGAGGCTTCATTTATGCATATTATTACTGCAGCAAATTTAACTATCTATTAGAACACAGAATATGGTGTCTTTGCCTTTAAAGTTATAAAATACAAGGTCACTTACATTCAACATTCTCTGGAAATTTCCTGTGGATCTCTTTGTAAGTATCTAATGCCTTTTGGTAGTTACCTGTAAGTAAAGAGAGAGGAAAATGTAATAATAGCTAGCTATATAAAGTTATAGAAATCTTACCAAATTTAATAAAAATTTTGATTGTAATCCAAAGCATTGGCATACTTTAATGGTTTAGTAGAAAACATTCATGTTTGCACAAGCAAATATGTATTATTCTTGAGTAATTTCTGGGAAGAAAATATATATATATATAATGTGGGTGTGGTGTTTCATGCCTGTACCCTCAGCACTCTGGAAGCAGAGGAAGGGACCACTGTTGAGTAGAGACCAGCCCGACTACACAAAGAGTTTCAGGCCACACAGTAAGACTGGGCTTCAAAAACAAAACAAAAACTAAATGAATAAACAAAATTGAAAAAAGGTTAGAGTGGAAGGAAATGGTTGAAATTCAGTTTTCACTTCTCAGCAGAAATAATTCAGTGGCTAATGTTTAGATCCACTCAGAGCTTGGGGTGTGACTTGTGGTCTGTGCAAATGAATGTGCACCTCTCAGTCAAACTGTCCATTTGACAGGGCCACGGTAGTGGTAAAGAGTGAGCCCTCCAGTAGTTTAGGACCAGACTAAGTTTGTAATGTATGTCCCAGCCATTCTGAAGACACTGACAGCTATCAGGAAACCTCCCATTCAAGCAGGTGAACACGGACCACCTCAGCTTGTGCTTCTTGTGGGGTCAGGACTGTCTTTTCCTGGGCATTTTATGGTCTAAGGAGGGTTTATAAACTTGTTAATGTAGTGGGTAGCCATTCCAGCTTTGATCTGGAAGTTCTAACCCCCATTGAGGCTTCGGCAACTGTCATGCCTACAAGGCAGGGCCAAGGGAGGCGCCAGGAGACCCGAGATCTGGATGAACAGCTCTCTCTGTTCCTGGACCCTGGACAGTGGAGGTGGACCAAGCAGAGTTCCAGAGAACACTGCTGGACTGCGATACACCTTCCCCATACCCCGAGACCTACCTATCCCTTCATTTGTAAGTTACCCACTAAATAAATCTTCCTTTTAACTATGTGGAGTAGCCTTAATAATTTCATCAATATGTTAACACTGACCTCCTAGGTGACTCACCAGCAGTTAAGCTGCAGGCACTCCTTAGGACAGAAGTGCACATCTCTCTACCTAGTAACCTTTGTTGTAAATAATATGGTTCCCAGTGTCACAGTTTTGAATTAAGAATCACTCGGGCAAAATATGGAAATAGAAACTAATATAAAAAGAATTTTTTGTGGTTAACATGTAATGATTTCATGTCAACTTTGAGAAACAACCCGTTTTTAGGAGAGTTACTGGAATATCTTGCAGGCTAGGGTGTACTCAGCAGTGGAGTGTTTGCTCTTAAATTCAAAGCCAGTGCTAAACCCCCGCCCTTGCCTCAAACAAAAACAAAACACCTCTGCTTGGTAAGCATGACCTTTTCTGCATGTAGTAATTATTATGTTTTTTAGATGATATGCTTCAATTATGTGTAGTTATTTAGAAAGCCAATGTTTAATAAACACTCAACTGGAGCACATTTATATGCATAACTACTAAATAAGAATGAATAAAGTCCAAACATTTACCGCTTCTTCTAAAACAGCTAGCTACCATCAGCTGCCATTTCACTTGTGTGGGTCTAGAAAAGAAAGAAATTAGAGACGAAACAAAAATAATGAGACAGTGAAATGGATTCATTAAGCTTTCTACCTCTATTTCCTTTTAAGACCTCAGACCTTTTGTTTATTTAACCTTTATTAGCAATATACAGGCTCACAAATTTAGAACACAAAAATATTTGATCTTGTGTTAGAACAAGCAGGCTTTAATCAAAAGAGAAGGAAAGAGAACTCTATTTACGCCCCTCACCTTTAACAAGAAATCACATTCTTTTCTAAAGTAATAATCATAACCAAGACCTCTAGAGACTAACCCTGCAAACATCCAAGACACGGGGTGCATGCTTGTACTCTCAGCATGCACAGGAGGCTGAGGCAGGATTGCTGATTTTGAAGCCACCCTTGGCTATGTAGTGAGTTCTGGGCTGGTCTGGGTCACAGTGGGAAAACCTGTCTCCACCCCCAGATCTGAGTCAGGAACAGCCCAGGGAACTGTTTAATGCTCCCTGCCCTCAAATCTCCCGTGCGCTTCTTCCCCAGGGGCTTCCAGACGGCCTTCCAACTCTAAGCTAGTTTGATGGCAAGCCTACCAGCTCTGGGGTTGGACACATCTGGGCTTCGATCTCAGCACTGCTATGTGTCCAGTTCTTAATTTTAAGCCCACTGCCATACACCTACCTGCTGCAATCTAAATAAAATACATAGTTAACTGTATTACTTTCCCCCTGGAAACCAGTCACCGACTCCACCCACATGTTACACTCAGGGTCCTAACCCAGTTTACCCACCGTCCAGTCCCTGTCTGCCTCTCCAGTCCTCTTCGACAGGCCTTGTTGAGGCTTCAGCTTCAGCAATCCAGGCAGGAGCATGGCTCCACGGCTAGACTCCAGGTCACATGCACGCCCTCTGTGAGAAGGCCCAGGCCAGCCTCTGCCATCCTATACAACCGCAGTCTACTGTTGTGAGAAGGCCCAGGCCAGCCTCTGCCATCCTACACAACCGCAGTCTACTGTTGTGTGCCAGCTCCTGGCACCGCTCTCTCAGCACTGCACTACCAGGGTTGCTGCTTTTGTCTCTGAATACCACTGTCACCCTCCTCTTCACACGTGACCACTACCCGACTTCCCAGGCTGTTAGCTGAAGGGATAGGATACGGCCCACTTTCACTCCTCTCCACGCCTGTCTAGGAGCAGCGCTGCTGGGTCCTACGGTGACTCTAAGTGTCCCTTTTTGATGATGAACTGCAAACCATGCACACAAGACAGCACTGTATTTTCTCACTAGCAATGTGCAAAAGCTCCTGTTTTCCACATCCTCCTCAACACTTGGTTATCCAACCCCCAAGTTATACTTTGCCTTTTTGATTTACTTTTTTGTTTTTCAGCCCAGCCTAAAAAATTATTTTTAAAAATTTATTCTTTGAGCCAGGCATGGTGGCATACATCTTTAATCCCAACACCAGGGAGGCAGAGGCTGGCAGATCTCTGATTTTGAGGCCAGCCTGGTCTACATTCTGAGTTTCAGGACAGCCAGGGCAACATAGTAAGACTATCTTTTTATTCTTTGAGAATTTCATACATGTATACCATGAAATATGATGATACTGACCCCCAATTTCCCCCTCCACTGTCCCAGGGCACCCCTTTAACAATCCCACTCCTAGTTCCTATCTTCTTCTTTCAAATAACTCACGAAGTCCAATTCTGCTGCCCATGTGTGCATGTGTGCGACTCGCTCTCCCCAACGCCGGATGTGGCCAAGCATGTGTTTATCAGTAGTCCACACCATCTTAAAAATAATGTGCTCAAAATCTTCGCTCATTTTTGTTACTGTCAAGTTGCAGTGGCTCTTTATACATTTTCAGTAATGACCTACTCTGAGGCTTCCTTCTGTACTCTTCTGTGTTAAGCAGAAGACTGAAAACTTGATTAAGTCTAATTGTCTATTTCGGTGTTCTGGTGTCATTTCTAAGAGGTTTTGCCACATTCAATGGTATGAACAATTTCCACCAAGGGTTTTTATGAGTGTTTTTTTATTTTTTATTTTATGTACATTGGTGTTTTGCCTGCATGTATGTCTGTGTGAGGGTATAGGATCCCCTGGAACAGGAGGTACAGACAGTTGTGAGCTGCCATGTGGGTTCGGGGAATTGAACTTGGTTTCTCTGGAAGAGCAGTCAGTGCTCTTAACTGCTAAGCCATCTCTCCAGCCCTCTCTTGTGGGTGTTTTATAGTTTTTAGTCTTACATTTATTTGGGTCTTTAATCCACTTTAAGTGAATTTTTGTATATGGGGTAAACTAAGGGTTCAATTTTCTGTGGTGGTTGTTTTTGAGATGGAGGACTGATTTGTAACCCAGATTGTCCTTGAACTCTCAATCTTCCTGCCTTAGCTACAGAGTAACTGGGATTACTGGTGTGTACCATCGGTTGGTTTCAAAGTTTATTTTTCTGCCATGTAAATATCTAGTTTGTCAAACAGTTTTAGTTGAAGACTGTCCTTCCTCCATTGAATGGTTTTGTTACCTTTGTAGGAAATCAACCTCCATGTATGAGAAGGGTTACTCTGGGGTGCTAGCGGCTGTTCTCACATCTGTCTTCCTAGCCCCTTTTAGTGCCACACTATTTTGATTATTATGTAAGCACATTCTGAAAATAGGAGTTCTGAATTTTCCAACTTCATTCCTTTTTGGGTAGAGATTCTATATGATTATTAGGTGGATTTTCTATGTCTGTAAAAAATACGATGGAGATTTTGATAGGGAGAGCCTTGACCTTAAGGTCACTCTGCTTGGTACTGCTAACAACCCTAGTCTTCTAATCCATGTACTTGGTGTCTTTCCATTTGTTTATGTACTTAATCTCTTTCAGGAGTGAGTCATGGCTTTAAGCACATGCTTTTTAGCTAATACAATTAAATGAATTCTTAGTTACCTTATTCTTTTTAATGCTGTTATAAATGATACTTTTTTTATTAATTTCATAGTTATCCTTTTTGGATTGTTTATTGCAAGTCTACATAAATACAAAAAGATTTTATGTGACTTTACATCCTGCAATTTTACTAAATTCTTTTATTATATTTCAATTTTGTGCATATATTCCTCAGAGATTTTGGTTATCTTTACAATCAGAGATTTCAGGACTTTATATATACCATCTACTTACTGTCTTCTGGACTTCAAGGTTTCTGCTGAGGACTCTGCTTAATCTTATCCAGCACCCCTTGTATGTGAGGACACTTCCTTTTGATGCTCTAAAGACTTTCTCAACAGTGTGGCTAAAGTGTCTCATGGGGTCCCTTGGGTTTTTCCCACTTGGAGTTCACTGAGCTCTGCAGACTCACAGATCTACAACCTTCCTCAACTGTGGGAAATGCTGGCCACAGTGAGTTTCAGCAGTTTCTCTGCTCCGTTCTCTTCCTCTCCTGGAGCTCCCACAGTGCATACACTGGTCCTCAGATGGCGTTTTATGATAGTAATCATAATGAACATATTAAATAACATTCTCCAAAACTGCTAAACAATAGAAGTGCATTGAATAATGGACCAATAGGAGTAGAATTTCTTTTCTTTTCCTTTTTCCTTCATTCCTTCTCTTTCTTTCCTTTTTTGAAACAGGTTTTCACACTGTATCCCAAGAGGTTGGCTTTGAACTTGTGGAAAATCTCCTGCCTCAGCTCTCAAGCACTGGGATTACAGATGTGAGTGACTATAATCAGTTGGGGCTAGTATTTCTTAATACTTTAAGATGTAATTTATAGATATACAGAAAATATAAAACAAAAGTATAGGCTTAAACAAGTAAGAAACACTAGATCACTAAGAACCACAAAAATATAGGTGATACAACCAGGAGAGACGTTTCCATCATAGGTGTCACAAGAAGAAATTAAATTGAATTAAACCATTTGCCAGTTCTCTGTAATATATAAGCAGTTATATGACAGAAGAATGAACATTCCCACTCCTTAAGAGCTTATGTTCTTATGATAGAGGCAGACTTTATACAGCAATAAACTTGGCACATAGTATCTTCAATAATTATGTATCAGTTGAAAATAAGGGTTTTTTTTGTTTTGGTATTTTTGAGACAGGGTTTCTCTGTGTAGCCTTGGCTGTCCTGGAACTCGCTTTGTAGACCAGGCTGGCCTCGAACTCAGAGATCCACCTGCCTCTGCCTCCTGAGTGCTTGGATTAAAGGCCTGTGCCATAAGGCCTGGCAAAAATAAAAATGTATTTTAGAGCAGGGCGTTGGTGGCGCACGCCTTTAATCCCAGAATTTGGGAGGCAGAGCCAGGCAGATCTCTGTGAGTTCGAAGCCAGCCTGGACTACGGAGTGAGTTCCAGGAAAGGTGCAAAAGCTACACAGAGAAACCCTGTCTCGAAAAACCAAAAAAAAAAAAAAAAAAAAGTATTTTAAAAATGATTTAACATACCAGAAAAGAAATTACAGTGTACAGTACAGTGAATACATGATAAAAAATATAGAGGAAATGTAATTAATGTATACTGAATGCCTCTGCCACTAAAAACACATAAGACCAGAAGCAAATGAAGGTAGAGAGAGAAAAGCAGGGAGAGAAGTGCAGAGGGACTTCACATGAAAGACACCCATTTTCAGGGAAACTCAAGTGTAAAACAAGGAGAGGAGCTGAAGAGCCTGAGAAGGCTGAGGAGACAAGGAAGCACTGGAGACTAAGGAGCAGTGCTGGTCTGACAGACTTATATGACAGCATCCATTTACCAGGTCACATCGTTTAAACATCTGCACAGCTGTTCCCAATAAATGGCTGCATTAACCCAAGAACAAAACTTTGGGAGAGCAGACGGGCCAGCAAAACAAGAGAGAAAATGGAACTGAGGAACCAGCAAGAAACGGAATAGATATGACCAAGCAGGCATTCCAGAAAGGCCATGATCAGAACTGAAGCCAGGAGGAGGCTGAGATGAAAAGAGAGAAAACGAGTAAGGTTCAATATACAGCAACTGTAAACTGAAACCAATACGACTTCCTTCTGTGAAGACTCTTCCAGCAATAAAATTGTCCTAAGACTTAGAAAGTCAGCCGGGCAGTGGTGGCGCACGCCTTTAATTCCAGCACTCGGGAGGCAGAGCCAAGCGGATCTCTGTGAGTTCGAGGCCAGCCTGGGCTACCAAGTGAGTTCCAGGAAAAAGGCGCAAAGCTACACAGAGAAACCCTGTCTCGAAAAACCAAAAAAAAAAAAAAAAAAGACTTAGAAAGTCACTTTCTGATTTGTAAAGGTTCAGGTGAGGAAAACAAAGTACATCATAAAAGGTATTTAAAGTTCTCATGCAAAGGAAAATATATCTGTCACAATAGAGACAAAGTAAAATGAAAAAAATATAAGAAAATGAAAACAACTCATCAAAATATTTTCATGAATTTATTAGGCTTATCAAATACTAATTTTTTAGGGATAAAAAAGTCTCAATGCAAGACATTAACTAAATATAAAACAGTTACTTACTGTATAAGAGATGCTCTTTCAAAGTACTGAATAGCTTTTTCACAGAACTGGGTATCAATGTAATAAGCTCCAAGCCACTCAATGACCTCAATATTAGAAGGGAAATACCTGTATGACTAGAGAAAACACAGAAGGTGACAACATAACTTCAGCAGCAATACAGAATACACCTGATTACTTTACCTGTTGAATGGATTTATTTATAAAAAGTATGAAGTATCAAGATAACTTTGCAAGTTCTCAAACGATACAAGACCTAGAAAATGTAGGTATACTTGACAGTTTTCAGTTATATATGATCTGAGTTATATTAAATATTTAAAAGAATCAGGAGATGCAAATTATGGTTTAAGAAAAATGAGTTAGTATTTTTCATTTTAATTAAAATGAATCAAAACTATAGCTTAATAATGTTTTATTTTAACAAATCATTATTAGATTTAAACCAATAAGCCTTTCTAGAATTCTAGGGCCTGTTTCCTTGAAATCCACAAACGGTCAGGAACTAGAAGGAGACTGAGACCGCACACCCACCTCGTAGTAATACTGGAACGCTTGGGACTTGTCCCCCTCACTGTCGTACAGTTCTCCCAGTTTAGACAGAGCTTGGGAGTCAGTCGGCACCACGCTGATCAACTGCATCAGCCACTCAATGGCTTGATTGGGATCTTCCATTAGCTCGTATCTTGGGCAATGTTAGTTAAGATTCAGTCACCGATAAGCAAACTTGGAAATATTATAATGATAATGCTTCCTCAGGAACACGTTGTCTGCACTGTAATTCTAGCCCTCTCCAGGAGGAGGGAAATGGGGCAGTGCTGCCCATGTACACCTGGATTCTCTCTAGTCTACTCCCCTTTAGCTTTTCTTCAGCTGTCTCCCCCCCACTCAGACAAGCAGACATGTGTTAATGTTTTAATGCTCCTCACTGTATTGGAAAAGAAGCACCTTGACTTCTCTCATTTTAATAAACGTTGACTACAACATTGGAGGAGAGCTAAAGTGTAGGTAGGTTTTCATATACTGTCACCTTGATATGTTCCATGTCAATGTTTAGGAAAAGGATAGGTATACCATTAATAACTTGAAGTACTATCTATTCTAGATGCAGATTTAAATTTTTTTCCACAAAATTTTGGAGCAGAAAGCAGCATAGTTATTTTATATATTTATTATTACAATGTTTTTGCAGAGCTGGAAATGGAACCAGGACCAAATGTCTAGCAGAATCACTCAAAGCACTGCCCAGGATGCCAGAACATTTGCTCAGTGACCCCAGCTCTCTTAAACTCAGCACAGTAAAGAAACTGGCTTCCTGCATTTTTCTTATGTGTTTTCCCTAATTATAGTACAAGCTGAAGGACAGGGCACTTTCCCTCTGTAGTTTCCTGTAGTACCTAGTAAGTCCTCTGCATATACAGAAGCACTCTGTTTGTATCAACATTTGTTGACTATTACCTACTTATAGCTGATGTGGAATGGAATGAACATCCCCCAAGCCCAGGTCTGCTTAGCAAGAAGTCGCCTGTGCTTTTTAGTTTGGTTTGTGCTTTTGGTGGTTGTTTGTGAGATGAGGTCAGCTGCACTGTTGCCAAGCAGGCCTTGCTCTCCAGATGCTCCTGCCTCAGCCTCCCAGTAGCTAGGGTTATGGGTATTGCTACCACTCAGCTTGGTGCCTTGCTTTGAGTATGACAAAGCAAATGTGATACCACAAGAAAGAAAACAAGGAAGTTTATGAGTCTCAAATTCATCAACTAACTACTGCCCAGTCACTAACTAGGCACCAGCAGAGTCATGCTGTTTAGTTTCAGGAAAAATGGATAAAATTATACCTTCTGGGGTGCAGCTCAATAATAGAGCATTTACCCAGCAAGAGCAAGGCCCCATGTTCCATCTTCAGCACTGCTTGAAACACAATAATAAACACAAAGAATAAAAGGAATAACTATAATGCTATCAGCTCTAAAAATTTATGAAAAAAATTAAGATATACCTATCCAAAGGAGATTGGATAGTACTTAGTTTAATAACATGCCTCACCTTTCTCTAACTATATTACCTGAAACATATCAGGGTAACAGTATATGAAAACCTAAACATTAGCTCTTCCCAATGGTGTGGTCAAAGTTCATCAAAATGAGAGAAGTCAAAGTACTTTCCAATCAGTGAGAGGCATTAAAACATTCACAGGTCTGCTTTTCTAACCGTGAGAAGGAAAACAAAGGGACCTCAGTGTCGCAGAAGCTGACATGGCAGCAATACCTTATAGTGCTGCATGCAGAGATCCAAACACAGGATCTAACCCTGCACACACAGCACACACCAGCATATGCAGAGATCCAAACACAGGATCTAACCCTGCACACACAGCACACACCAGCATGAGTGCTGATGAGTGCTGCATGCAGAGATCCAAACACAAGATCTAACCCTGCACACACAGCACACACCAGCATGAGTGCTGCATGCAGAGATCCAAACACAGGATCTAACCCTGCACACACAGCACACACCAGCATGAGTGCTGATGAGTGCTGCATGCAGAGATCCAAACACAGGATCTAACCCTGCACACACAGCACACACCGGCATGGGCGCTGATGAACAAGGCCACACAGTACTGAAGACTTCTGAGGATTACAGTTTTCAGAAAGCTAGCTTCACTCTATCTACACACCAGCTAAAATCAATTCATTACCTAAACTCAACAGTACTAATTAGTCACACATTTTCAATATCCTACATGAACTTTCTAAACAAAATCAGAATTAGTAGAATGATCTAAAGTATCTAACTTTCACTCAAAGATTATGTGTATTCAAAATATCCTCAATCCTTCAATTAGTTTTTTTAAAATAAAAATTAACAACTATTTTAAACTAATTCTTCTTAGGATGCAAATGATCTTTTACCAACTGAACTATTTTCACCAGGTTAATCTGTTATATTATCCTCATCAATTATCTCCATGGTTAATATTATTTAATAATTAACATTCAATTTCCAATTGAGGGGATTAATAATGTTCTTAAGTTTTTAAGTGAGATACACATTTGCTATCTGGCAAAGAACTTGAGCGCTGTTCCGAAGGATTGCATGCAGTTTCAGGAAGGAGTCCAAGGCTTCATCCAGACGGTTTAGCTTCTTATAGGTGAGGCCTTGAGAAGAAAGAAAGTGCATCACAGGCATCATTGTACTAAAGGCAATGGATAACTATTTAAATCTATGTGAAATCATCCAGAGAAGAAAATGACAATGAACTGAGCAGTTTTAAAAAACAATAGGGGCTGGGATTTCTCCAAGCAGACATTAGACATGCTACAGACAGCTCCAGTGATTTTTAAAGTGTGTGATTTTTACAGTGTGTGTGTGTGTGGGGGGGGGGCAGGACGTCAAGGACAGCAGACAGAAACCAACAAATAGACTCAAAGGATGGGATAAACACTTCAGATATGGATCCAGCTGTAAAATTTAATAGACATTTAAAGTCAGTGGAGATGAAGGGATAAATGTGATGAACTGTGCTGGGACTGCTTGATTGTACATGCAAGGGACAAGGGTAGTTCCTTAGTTCATCATAAAACATTCAGAGGACAGGAGTGGAAGGGGGTCAGCAGGAGTGTGGACACAAGAGGGCAATGGGCAGAGGAAGTAAACATGATAAAAATACATTATGTTCATGCAAATGTCACAATAAAACCCATTATTATGTATGATTAATACTTGCTAATAAAATGTTTTAAAAATTCAAAATTCACTTTTAAATTACAGAGGAAAAATAAAGCGGTAAGAGTCTGAAAAAAATCTCAAATTTATAGAGTAAAAAAAGCCTCTAAGTAGGCGATTAAGCTACCCTAGGACGGACTGTGCCCTTCTCTTCCCTATGCTATAAAACCCTTTCCAGATCTTAAACGTCACATCCTCAGTCCCTTCCTGCCATTTCTCAGTGACTTGCCTCAACCCCCTACCTCTTAGTCCCACACCTCATCTCCAGGGTTGGCAGTGAGTCTTTCTCCTTTTATCAGGCAGACAACTGACTGACAGGCCAGTCTTAACTAAACAGACCAGGCCAGATTGGCTGCTTATGTAAAGCACAGGTCACCATTCTCACTAACGAACACAGATCCTATTAATCTTTTCCTTGTTCTGTGATATGTACATGTATGTGTGCATGCACATGCGTACACATACATGTTGAGGCCAGAGATCCATGCTGGGTATCTTCCTCAAGTACTCTCTACCTTATTTTTTTGAGGCAGGGTCTCCTACTGAACCTGGAACTCACCAATACATCTAGACTAGTTGGCCAGACAATCCCCAGGTCATCTGCCTTTCTTTGCCTACCAAGCGATGGGATTACAGGCATGTGTTGCCTTGCCTGGCTTTTTAAGTGAGTGCTGTGGATCAAAACTCAGGTTCTCTTGCTTGTGTGGCAAGGACTTTACCAACAGCCATCTCCTCAGCCCTCCAACTCAACTTTTATCTGCAACTTGCTAAACACCAGGAAATAGTCTAAGAGCATCAGACAGGCAAGGAAAGGGAAACAATGAGAAAAAGACACGACAAGAAACCCAAAAATACAAACAAAATTCATAATCAAACAACACATGCAAAGAGAAGCATATTTTAAAAGAAACATCAATAACCAAAGAAACCAGCCCCAGTATTAAAGACATGTATGTGTTTTGCAACACCTTGGAAGCAACAGTGCCCATATCAGGCAACCTGTGAGGATAGGAAGGGGATGAGATGGTGATGAGCCTTCATGTTTTATAACAGTACAAATAATACAACCAAAATCTGAGGGGCTGGAGAGATGGCTCTGTGGTCAGGAGCACTGGCTGCTCTTTCGGATGACCTAGGTTTGGATCCTAGTACCCACATGGTGGCCACAACCACCTGTAACTCCAGTTCCAAGGGATCTGACACCCTGTTCTGGTCTCTGTGTGTTCCAGCCACATAAGGGTTGCACAGATAGGCATGCAGGCAAAACACCCACACACATAAAATAAAAATAGAAAATATTAAAATTTCTGAAGCATATTTGGCAAAACATTAAAATGTGTCAAACTGTGGCACTAAACACCCTCTAAGTACTTTTTGTATATTTGACACTTTTCATAATTAAAAAGGAAAATCAGTGTTTTTTTTCCTATTTGGGAAACATTTAAAAATATCATCTCATGTCATCAAACACTTGGGGACACAGTCTTTTAACTGTGGTAGATACAGATATTAGAAAAGTCGAGCAACATAACAATGCTGATCCAAATTTTATATAGCATGGCTTTTGAATCATTAACTCCACTAAGAATAACTGGTTATTCATTAATTTTTCTTTTAGGTTTTTTGAGACAGGGTTACTCTGTGCAGCTTTTGGAACTTACTCTGTAGGCCAGGCTGGCCTTGAACTTACAAAGATCCACCTGCCTCTGCCTCCCAAGTGCTGAGATTAAAGGCATGCACCACCACTGCCCAGTAATTGGTTATTTTTTTAAAGATGTCGACAATTCCTTAATGTAATTTGCCGTGTTGAACTTACCAATGTTATAAAGTGCTTCAGTACAAGAAGAATCATTTCTTAGGGCCTCTTTATAGAATTCAGCTGCCTTCTCATAATCACCATTTGCAAAAACCGTGTTCCCTTTATTAGTGAGAGCTGATGGGTTGTATCTATCCGAGTTCACAGCTAAGTCTGCATAGCTGCTGGCCTGGGCAAATTCATTTTCCTACAGTATGAAAGATACACAAACTTCAAGTCTAAATTTCGAGTCTCTTCAGAGTGTTCTGAGATTACAGAAACGATAAACAGACTTCCTGAGATTATACACGAAGATGAACAGAGACAAATAGTTTACATTTCTTGGTTTTGACAGGCTATTTGTAGCTGTCAAGCTCAAGCAGCCAAGTTCCTATGGCTGGCTCCTCTCGTCTCCTGGCTTGATAACAAGAGTATTTGTACGTAGGCGGTTCCACGTTCACCGCCCAGGCCCCGTGTCCTCATTTGCTGTGCGCTGCCACCTTCCCACCTGAAGCACGGAAATAGCTGGAGGGCCTCAGCCGTCCCCTGCTCTGCACCTGGCTGCGGCACTCACGAGGCGTTGGCACTGCTGCCCGTGTACTGCTTTCTCTTCCTCTCTCAGCCAATGTGAACAGGCCATGTGAACAGGCCCTTGTCATCGTTCACATGAGGCCCGTGGACCCCTTTATTTCATTGGGTCAGGCCAGCTCAGTGAGACTGAGAACCCTGTAAAATGCCCAACTCAGTGGCAAACATTCCACGATTGCCCCATTCCAGGGTACTTTTCTTCCCTCAACAGAAGCCCCGTGCCCATCAGCAGCCACGCTCTACCTTCTCTTCTCTCAGTCTCTGGAAACCTGTATTCTACTTTCTATTTCCCTTCCTAGTCTGGACACTGGATATTAAGCGGGACCTTTGTGTCTGGCTTCCTGCTCTTGGGGTTTGTAAGGTCTCTGTACCATGTATCAGTGGTCTGTGCTTTCAATGGCTGACTAACGTCCACGTATGGACACCACCCAGGTTAATCCCTGTGTCGCCGACACATATTTATGCTGCTTTCATTCACCTTTTGGTTGGTATGAATAATGCTGCTGTGAGCATCCATGTGCGAGTCTTTGTGTGAACTCTGAACTACAGCTTATATAAAAACTGGTCCCAAGAAGTGGAGAGCAGCTGTGAAGAGCTAACACGTGGACAACAAACAGAACTTAGGAAAGCTGTGAGGCTGCTTTGGAGGACTGCACAGGAGGGAACTCCGTGGAACCTGCAGAGGTGGGAGGGAGCTGCTCTCTGCGGCTGACGAAAGGGCAAATCAAGTTTGTAGTTGGAAGGCAACTGGCATAAGTGGCGCCCACCTACTTCCAGGAGTCCCAGTGATTGGCACCTAGTAGGCACTCAATGCATGCTTGTTACAGATGGTGCTCTGCAACCCCGTCTAAGTCATTTCACCTGAGATACCACTTTCTCCATCACTAACACGATGGGTTAAAGGGCTGGCTCAGCATGGTCTTGCAGCTGTCAGTCCAGAATTCTGTTTTCCTCCCTCACCTCTTAGAGCCAGGCTTCTTACTCACATCTGCAAACTCAGCCCTGGCAGCACCGGTCGCAGTCGGTCCTCAGCGTACTGCATTCCACTTACACCGTGCACCAGTCTTCTCTGGAGCCTTTCCTTAGCTGCGTGCTTAGGCAGAAATTTGGCAATGCAAAACTATCCCATAAACAACTCAGTGTAAAAAAGCAAAACCTACCAGGTAATACAGGAAGGAGAGGTTGGTTGCAGCTGCACTTTTCACTCTACTGTCCTTCTTTTCAAACATTTTCAAGGTGTCTACAGCCTAGAAACAGAATGTCTGAAATGACTACCACTGCCATACAGCAGTATCCAAAGGTATGAGTGGGGAAGGGGCTGTGTGGAGCGGGAGACCGAGGGTACAGGACGGAGCAGCTGTAAGTTCAAGACGACAGTTGGCAGGATGAGAATTTCATTCAAGAAAAGAATTCATCAAACAGAAAAAGACAAGCATGACAAATAAGACATAACAACTGAATTTAAGAGCATATAGAGGGATTTAAAAGTTGATAGGACAGAGCTGAAGAAGGACTGAGGCCCCAGCAAGGGTCACTGTGAATGCCGAGCCTCGTGAGTCAGAGAAGCATCCTCTTCACCCTGCATCATGCTGGGACAAGGACCTCAAAACTTTTCCCCAACTCAGTCCAACTTCTTCTTGACAGAATGTTCTAGGGCTTCTGGTTACAGCTATTTCAGACTAATCTATGGGCCATTTTCCAACAGAGAACAACCCGAAAAGTTATATAAACGCTATAACAACTTGGAAGGCACTGGAGAGCTACTGAGGTAACCAGAACTTGAAGACCAAGATCTCACAAAAGGTTCTGAATAAAGTACTGAAAAAGGATGAATATATTTTAAGAAAAATGTTCTTTAAAGAGGACACAAGACAGAGGCAAGCACAGGAAAAGGGCTTTTATAAATGTAACTGGGATGCTCAGAGGAGGAGGAAAGTGGATGGCCAAACAGTTCGAAATCAATCATAGAAAACAATTCTGGGAATGTTACCAAAATATTATCTAAAGTAGGTAAATATAACCCCATCTTCAAGTCCTGAAATATGGAAGTACATGTTTAGCCACCTGCCAAGTCTGATATAATGCTATCTAAACAGTATATAGAACAGTTAGACACCCTATATGAACAGTGCATGGTTATCCAACCTAGAAATTATTTGATAGGAGAAGGAAAGGTGAAAAGGGATAGTGGGGTTTATTTTCTTCCTTTTTAAAAAAATACATTTATGCTTGACATCTTGGTGTCTCAACTTTATGGCATCACTTGTGTCCAAGGAAAAATCCACCATCTGCTAAACCGACTGCAACTAACCAGAGGAATGTACTACACGAGGCTGGAGTCCAAGGTCGTACCAGCAAGCCTGATGATCAGTTTGGTTAGAATGAGAGTTTTTAAAATACTGGATTCCAAGGCTACCGGTGTGGCCCAGAGGTACAGTGCCTATCTAGAATGTATAAAGGCTTGGTTTGATGTCTCACATCACAAAACAAACACACTAAATCTCGAAATGTTGGTTCCCATATAAGTATGCTAGTACCCTTTTAAAGGGTTTTCAATGACCTTAAAAAACTGTTGGTAATTTCTAGGATAGTCTAACACCAAAAAAGAAACATCCTAACACCACATCTTGCCTTTTCAAACTGAGGAAGGAGAATCCACAGTGAGTTCGAGGCCAGAGTGGGCTTCACAGCAACACTGTCTCAAAAACAAAGCAACCACACACACACACCAAACAAACAACCCTCCCCACTCAAACCAAACCAAAAAACAACAAAAAACAAGCAAGCAAGCAAACAAACAAACAGGAAAAAAAAAGGAGATAACAAGATCTGGGCTAATTTTAACCAAAAAAGTTAAGAGTCTCTTAACTGCTGAGTCAGCTCTCCAGCACCAAGAGTGCTTAGTTTTGGATGGACAGTTCTAAAACATGAACTATGGGAATGCACTATTAACCTGTTCTTAAAAAAAAACAACGGCCGGGCAGTGGTGGCGCACACCTTTAATCCCAGCACTCGGGAGGCAGAGCCAGGCGGATCTCTGTGAGTTCGAGGCCAGCCTGGGCTACAGAGTGAGTTCCAGGAGAGGCGCAAAGCTACACAGAGAAACCCTGTCTCGAAAAACCAAAAAAAAAAAAAAAAAAACAACTTAGAGATAAATAAAATTTTCTCCACTGTGTCATCTATAACAGTATACTTAAATATTCATAAATTATTTTTCAGGTCCCAAGATCACTTCAGCAAGGTAACAGAGACCAGTTTGTGTCACATCATATGATTCTACTGCAACGGGGGTTGCAGTGGTTGTTTGTTTGATACAGGGTCTCATGGCACTCAGTTGACCTCAGACTTACCAATAGCTGAGGATGACCTTGAACTTCTGATCCTCCTGTCTCCACCTCCCCAGTGCTGGGATTATAGGCATGAGCCACTGAGGCTGACAGTGGCATTAAAAAAAAGACCTATTTTGATTATTTTTCTAATTTTGTGTATGTGTGTCCTTGTGTGGTTATGCACATCTGAGTGCAGGTGGCCTAGGAGTCCAGAGGAGAGTCAGGTCCCCAGGAGCTGGATTTACGGGCAGCTGTGAGCCTCCAGATGTGGGTGCTGGGAGCCGAACTCAGAACTTCTGCAGAAGTATGTGCTCTTACCCTCTGAGCTGTCTCTCCAGACCCCGGTGTGACGATAAAGTGACAGGACAGATGTGAGGACTCTCAGTAAGTCTTCAGTGCTTTGTAAACACTAAGAGACTTAAGGATGGCGAATGGATCCACACAATTAGCCACCTCCTGGTACTGCAGCCTATCGACTATTTAACTACTACATGAACACAGGATTGCTTCACTCTGTTCTCATGCTCTGAGGGAAGGGTGTTCTCCCCAGTCTCTGCAGTTACTCCTTTCTCCTGTCTTCCAGACAAGAGGAGGGTCCTTCAGTGAGGAAGAAAAGAGGAAGCACAGGCTTGGACAGTGTGGAAAAGACGCTGTGGCTTCCCCTGAACCTTGCTGTCTGGATCGAATGAAGTTTTGAGTTGCAGGTACATAGGACACCCATCATCAGCTTATGAACTAGGAAACCATGGCCATTCTGCCTGCTCTCTTTTGGTATCCCCTCTTCTTCTTAAAACTCTGCAATCCTCTGCTTCTGTCTCAGCTCTGCTCTACTTGAGCGAGCACCGAAAGGAACAAAATACTCCACCCCACCCCTAGACAACAAGATAGCAGCCTGCCAGTGAGGGAAGCCAGGGTTCCAAGCCAGTGTCTATCACAGGGAAACACTCGAAACAGCCTCTAAGAAAGCTGCTCAGAGAGGACAAGACAAGACCATCAGACTGCTATTTGGGCTCCCTGCACACACCAGCTTCTACATGCCTTAGCTCTCTGCAGAGCAGTCTGGGAATTTCAAGGCTTCAACCAGCACAAGGTTTGGTAATTTAAGAATATGCTATATATGGAAAGTATTTACATTTTAAGAAACAGAACCAACATATTAAAAACTTGTCAGAGTTTATGGGTGGGGGTAGAGCTCAAGGGTAGGGTACTTCAATAACATTCTAGAAAGGAGTTTCCCTGTATTCACTGCCTGGACCAATGGACCTGAGAAATGCCACTGCACTTACTTGGTTAAAGTCCTTTTGTCTCAAGTATGTAATTGCTTTGTTAATCTCCAGATCGTTGGCCAGCTCCACGTACTGAGAAGCCTTCACCACTTCCACACACCTATGAGAAAGGTGAAACAAAGAGGGACTTGCTTTCATTTCACTATCAATGTTGTTGACCCCGCTCCTCTCTCTCCAAGTGTGTGTGTGTGTGTGTGTGTGTGTGTGTGTGTGTGTGTGTGCGCACAATGTATGCACCCATCTGTTGGGTGCACACATGTACATGTGTGTGCGCACATATGGAGACCGGAGGTCAAGGTCAGCTGCCATCCTCCATCATTCTCCACCATGACCTTGGCAACTCTTACGAGAGAAAGCATTTAACTGGGGCCTGGCTTACAGCTTCAGAGACGCAGTCCATTATCATCATGGCAGGCTGGTTGGCAGCAGGCACGGCAGGCGTGGTGCTGGAGAAGTAGGTGAGAGCTACATCCTGTTCTGCAGGCAGAGAGAGCCTGGGCCTGGCATGGGCTTTTGAAACCTCAAAGCCCACCCCCAGTGACACACCTCCTCCAATAAGGCCACATTTTTCCTATTCTTTCTAATAGTGCCACTCCATGGTGACTAAACATTCAAATATAAGAGCCTATGAGGCCATTCTTATTCAAACAAAAACACTTGTCAATTTAAAAAAAGAATTAGCTGGGCACTTTTAATCTCAGCACTCAGGAGACAGAGGCACGTGGATTTCTATGAGTTCGAGAGCAGCCTGGTCTACAGAGCAAGATTCAGGACAGCCAGGGCCACAGAGAGAAACCCTGTCTCAAAAAATAAAATAAATAAAACAATTAGCCAGGCAGTGGTGGCATACACCTTTAATCCTAGCACTAGGGAGGCAGAGGCAGGTGGATTTCTGTGAGTTCAAGCCCAGCTTGGCCTACAAAGTAAGTTCCAGGATAGCAAATGCTGTTACACAGAGAAACCCTGTTTTGAAAAACAAAACAAAACAAACAAACAAACAAACAAAAACCCAAAAAGAAGAAAAACAACACAGGAAACAGATTGTTTCATTACACCTGCTTCAGTGAATAAAGCAAAAGAGCCAGGCGAGGTGGCGCATGCCTTTAATCCCAGCACTCAAGAGGCAGAGCCAAGCAGATCTCTGTGAGTTTGAGGCTAGCCTGGTCTACAGAGTGAGTTCCAGGATAGGCACCAAAACTATATAGAGAAACCCTGTTTTGAAAAACCAAATAAAATAAAGCAAAATAATATTTGTCATTAAGGGTATGGTTCAGTGGCCTAGACCATAATTCAAAACAAGGAATCCCTTTCTTTCATAGAACCTTTTCCTGAAAAGCCTCATATATAAAAGAGTCTGTCTGCCTGAAACAGGGACAGAGGACTTGAGGCCCTTTCTGCACTATACCCCATCTGGAGACAAGGCTCATGAAATTTGAGTTCCAAAAGAATAATCTGGAAACCCAGGTATACACAGCAAATATTTATTAAAATTCTACTACACGTCAGACATTATTTTTGGTACAGGGGCTGCAAGAGTGAAGACAATACTGTCCCTCCCCTGTGAGGAAAGAACAGTAAAGCAAGCTCTGTACAAAGGAATTCCACAGATACTGCAGCTCCGTTTGGAGGACAAACAAGCATGAATGACTTGAGAAAAGAAAAGGTATCCTAGGATGGATAAACAACACATCTAAAGATGGAGAGGACCAGCAAGCCGGACCTACTGAAGAGACTCAATTGCTACATGGGGCAGAAAGCACTCAGGAAGTGGAAAGAGAGATGGCCTGAGAAGCAGGTGGAAGCCACATCCTTCAGAGCCTCTGGAGAACGAGACAAGAATGCTCACTGTACTCTCAAAGTCCCAGACAAGGATTGAGGACAGTAAGAAATTGAGTGTCGGTGCAAGTTCTACACTCAGAAAAATTACTCTAACCGTCAGATGATAGGTAGACAGGATGAATGCATTCTGAACAAAGAGGTTTGAACTTATACAGCACATAGAAGAGGATACAGGTCATTCCGAGAGAAAAGGAGGCAGAATTGATGTGTGGCTGCTGAGATAAAGGCCATGGAGCTAAGTTTAGATTTCTGGCTTAGACAGTTGGTTAATTAGTGGTATCATTGCCTCAGATGGACAATTCAGGATGGGACATGTAAATACACGTTAACATAGGTTAAAAGAGAAGATATGCTTGGGACTACAAAGTCTGAACTATACAGAACATTGAGAAGACAGGCTGAGCTGGCAGCTGATCAAGTGAGCCTGCAACACAACACTGAGTTTTAGAAAAAGTTTTTGGGATTTGACAGCTATAAGGGACAGTAAGAGGTAGAAATGCTGAACCGAAAACTTTTCTACTCACATGTCCAACACAGACTGTCTAGAGGCTTCTACACAAAGCAAGTTTCTGTTTCTCTTAGCACAAAAACTAGCTGTCTTACATTTAACTCAATCCTGTGACCGACTTGATGGGCACAAAGCTGTCGGACATTTCAGACTCTGTTGTGAGGCGTGTCCAGGTTCACACTGCACCCTGAATGCAGCAGCAGGGAGGAGGCTCTCTCAAGCTCCTCGGGTCCCACTACTTGCTGTCACAGCACACAGAATTGGACCAGCTCATCACAAAGAACAGTCTGAAGGACACAGATAAAGAATGTGGCGATGGCTCAGTGAGATGGCTCAGTGGTTAAAGCTCTTGCTGCACGAGCCCGACAACCTGAGTCTGACTTCGAGACCCAACCTAAAGGAAGGGGAACGGACTTCACAAAGTGTCCTCCGACTTCTCTGTGCACACCATGACACCCACACCCACACACAATGGGTGAGATCAAAAGGGTCCTCAGCTAACTGGAGGAGTCTGGGGTCTTCCACTTTAAGATCGAAGTATTTTGAGCTATATATGTGTGAAGGGCTGCAGGCATCTGGAACACTGAGACTACTCTTGCTTCTCCTTAGAATTTTCTCCTTCCCTCCACATCTATCTGTACTAATTCTTCAGTTCTCAACCCAGATATCAATACAAGATTTCTGTGGCCCCAGTTTATAAATTAGGCACTCCGACTAAGTTCGAGCAGAGTGCCCTAGAAAGTGTTACTTTATGTCAGGGCAATAATCACTTAGATTTCTTTGTTATAATTGGTGTAATTATTTGTCAACTTAGTTCAACTGTAAACTTCTTGAATGAAAGAAACTGAAAAAATTTTGACTTATCACTAGCCTCAATAAACAAGTATTTGTTTTTGTTGTGGCTGTTGGCTTTCTAAGTATGATACTAAATCATAAATGACAAGGAAGACTGATTAAACTCTTCCTAGAAAATAATTTATAGCAATTCCTTGTTAGAGTAAAACTTTTTCAGAATGAAGACACCTGACAGAAATAACACCAAGGGTAAGAGGTTAGAGACAATCAGTCATGGTTTTGTTGATCACTATTACCGACGAAGCTGTCATGGGAACCACCTGTATTGTACCCCTAAGTGAGCATCATGTTTTCCCCGTGTGGTTTTGCAGCATGTGACAGGCAATTCCATTAGTGTGATATATGTATGGAACTTTAAAAGCAGACCCTAGAGCCAGGAATTGACCTCATTCTTTACTATCTGCTTAACTGAAACCAGTTACAACCCGGCTTCAAAGAAGGTACTTTTGTCTTGACCATTTTATAAATTCCAAATTTCTCACTCAAATCATGCGATTTTGCAACCACCTCAGACCATGCTTCTCTCAGGAAGTACACCATCCCCGGAAAGGGTACTCTGTGCAATCCTTGAAGATCTGTTGGTCTCTCTTGGTCTTACAGTATACTGGACCCAGTTCTCTTGTACTGGGGTCAGGTTGTTTGGGATACATATACATACAGTCAAATGGTGTAGGTGAGGGTGTCAAAACCAGCAGTTTCTCAACCAACAGTGTCGGGAACACTAGCACTTTACAAACAAAACAATGAGGCTGGGTCCAACCTTGACTTAATTCAGTTACGAAAGTTAACTTAAAAGTGATCAAAGACCTAACTGTAAGACCTAAAACCACATAACTCTTGGAAAAAAACATAAGGCAAAAGTCTTAAGACAGGGCTGGTGAGACGGCTCTGCAGGTAAAGGCATGTGCTGCCAAGCCTCCCAACCTGAGTTCTATCCTGGGAATCCACATGGTGGAAAGAGAAAACTGACTCCCACAAGTCTGACCCCCACGTGCACACTGTGGCATGCTCATGCCCCTCCCCTCAAATAAATATGAAAAAAAATCAAGACATTTGGCTGGCAATTATATCTTGGATATGCCACCAGAAGCACAGTCAATAAAAGAAAAAACAGATAAATTAGAGCTTGTGCAAAAATGCAATCCACAAAATGTGAGAAACTATTTGTGAATCACAGCTGGTATTAATATCTAGATCCAGAGAATTCCTAAAACTCAACAACAACATGACAACACGATTCTAAAATAGCAAGACTTGAAGAGACAGGTCTCTAAAGAAGACATACAATGTCTGATAGGCTCATAAAAATATGCTGAACAATACAAGCCATTAGTGATTATCTCAAAACGACAACGAGGTAATATGCCCCCACCTATTAGGATGGCATACTGTTGAAAGCTTTACCCTCTGAGACCAGAAACAAGACAAAAGCATCTACATCACCACTTCTCCTCACCACTGAAATGGATGGATGCCCTTCTAGGACAAAGAAGCTCTGCCGAGCATGGTGGCAGAGGCAGGAGGACTGTAAGTTTGAGGCCAGCCTAGGATACACGGGAAAACTGTCTCAAAAACCAACAAACAGAGCAGGGAGATGATGGCACAGTGGGTAAAGTGCTTGCCACCAAAACATGAGTTCAAATCCCTAGAAGCCAGAAGGGCAGTGCGAGCATCTGCGACTCCAGCACCCCTCTGAGAACACCGGAGGAAGACACAAGAGAGGACCAGCTAACCCGACAAACGCAGTGGGGAGGAAAACAAGAGAGACCCTGTCTCAAACAGGTTCAGAGGGTGAGGTCCAACATCCAAGGTTGTCTCCTGACTCCTGCAGTACACACACACACATACACACACACACACACATACACACACACACACACACACACACACACACACAC